GGAAAAAAAGTGCTGAACAAATTGAGGGCGGAAAAAAAAAAAAAAAAAAAAAAAAAAAAAAGAAGAAGTAAAATTGCTGACAAAGTGGATAACGGTGGCTGTGAAGAAAACTAGTTCAATGACTGAGAATCCAATCAAACCCAGCTAGAAGTTTCACACGTCACAAAGACCGTCGCACTTACGATTGCAAGACGCTGCAGTTGTAGTAGATGAAATCAGTGGTGATGAATTTGAGACCCGTCTCTTTGGACTTCAGAGAGAGCTTCACAACCCGTTTATCGCCTGGAAAAGAATGCAAAGAGACAGTAATGAAGAGAAAGACGAAGAAAATGCAGGAGAAATTAAGTTAGCGTGAGAAGGGCCGTTTGAACTCGCGCTGATGGTCTAATGCAGACAGCGCAGCATCTGTGCCCCACTCTGCACATATACTCACAAATGTTCCCGTTTCTAATATATTTGATTGCGAGACCATTTATCCACTTCTTCCATCTGTGAGCAAAATGCACTTATGTTTCAAACTCAGCAACCCTTTTGCATTCCATAATGACTACATCTCTGCCCATCAAATTATACATGTGGGCCTCACTTCACTATAATTGACATAATATTTCCATTTGGACATGCAATAATTGTTATTAATGGGAATACCAGGCTTCCGGAGTCTAAAAGTTACCATCAGGAGATTTTGAATTCTTAGAGTACCTTAAAAACCTAAAAAAAATTTAAAAAGGGGGAAAATTAAGTAGGTCTCAAAGCTTCAGGAGGATCAGAAGAGATTCATGTAATTATCAGTCATCACAAAGGTAAAAGAAAAAAGAAAAAAAGAAGACTGGGACAAAATGGGAAACACGGAAGGAAAAAATTAAATCAAATTAAATTTTATTTCTGAAGCACAATTTGTTCGAAGCAGCTCTAGAGAGCAGCTTAATAGACCTGGTCAGAGTAGACGTATTTCATTTGCCGCAAATGAAAACGAGGCTGTGAGTGACAGATGTACAGTCTGTCTGATTGTTGAAAGATGTGTTTCCACAAACTTCAAATGGACAAACGACTCTGTAAAGCACGACTTTAAGACAGCATGAAATATTGAACTGTATTTGCTTTTGTTCAGACCAAAATATGGAATTAACATGCGATGATTTGATGTATAAATGAATAAAAGGAATAAATGAAATCTGCACACCATAAAAAAAATAAATATCGCTTATAATACGGTCTCTTATGCTCACCAAGGCAGCATTTACAGCATTTGATCAAAAATACAATAAAAACAGTATTATTATTACAATTTAAAATAACTGTTTTCTATTTGATTCTATTTTAAAATGTAATTTATTCCTGTGATGCAAAGCTGAATTTTCAGCATCATTACTCCAGTCTTCAGTGGCACATGATCCTTCAGAAATCATTCTTATATGCTGATTCGATGCTCAAGAAACATTTTTATTATTATCAATGTTAAAAACCTTTGCACTGCTGAGATTTTTTTCAAGATTCTGTGATGAATATAAAGTTTAAAAGAACAGCATTTATTGTAAACAGAAATCTTTTGCAACATTATATACTGAACAAAATTATAAACGCAACACTTTTGTTTTTGCCCCCATTTTTCATGAGCTGAACTCAAAGATCTAAGACTTTTTCTATGTACACAAAAGGCCTATTTCTCTCAAAAATTGGTCACAAATCTGTCTAAATCTGTGTTAGTGAGCACTTCTCCTTTGCCGAGATAATCCATCCACCTCACAGGTGTGGCATATCAAGATGCTGATTAGACAGCATGATTATTGCACAGGTGTGCCTTAGGCTGGCCACAATAAAAGGCCACTCTAAAATGTGCAGTTTTATGACACAGCACAATGCCACAGCTGTCGCAAGTTTTGAGGGAGCGTGCAATTGGCATGCTGACTGCAGGAATGTCCACCAGAGCTGTTGCCCGTGAATTGAATGTTAATTTCTCTACCATAAGCCGTCTCCAAAGGCGTTTCAGAGAATTTGGCAGTACATCCAACCGGCCTCACAACCGCAGACCACGTGCAACCACACCAGCCCAGGACCTCCACATCCAGCATCTTCACCTCCAAGATCGTCTGAGACCAGCCACCCGGACAGCTGCTCCAACCATCGGTTTGCATAACCAAAGAATTTCTGCACAAACTGTCAGAAATCGTCTAAGGGAAGCTCATCTGCATGCTCGTCGTCCTCATTGGGGTCTCGACCTGACCGCAGTTCGTCTTCGTAACCGACTTGAGTGGACAAATGCTCACATTCGATGGCGTCTGGCACTTTGGAGAGGTGTTCTCTTCACGGATGAATCCCGGTTTTCACTGTACAAGGCAGATGGCAGACAGCATGTATGGCGTGTACACAATTCCTGGAAGCTGAAAACATCCCAGTTCTTGCATGGCCAGAATACTCATCGGACACGTCACCCATTGAGCACGCTTGGGATGCTCTGGATCGGTGTATACGACAGCGTGTTCCAGTTCCAGCCAATATCCAGCAACTTCGCACAGCCATTGAAGAGGAGTGGACCAACATTCCTCAGGCCACAATCAACAACCTGATCAACTCTATGCGAAGGAGATGTGTTGCACTGCGTGAGGCAAATGGTGGTCACACCAGATACTGATTGGTTTTCGGACACCCCAATACAGTAAAACTGCACATTTTAGAGTGGCCTTTTATTGTGGCCAGCCTAAGGCACCCCTGTGCAATAATCATGCTGTCTAATCAGCATCTTGATATGCCACACCTGTGAGGTGGATGGATTATCTCGGAAAAGGAGAAGTGCTCACTAACACAGATTTAGACAGATTTGTGACCAATATTTGAGAGAAATAGGCCTTTTATGTACATAGAAAAAGTCTTAGATCTTTGGGTTCAGCTCATGAAAAATGGGGGCAAAAACAAAAGTGTTGCGTTTATAATTTTATTCAGTGTAAATGTCTTTAATGTCATTTAATGCCAAACTTTCGAGCTGTAATATTCAAAAGTTACATTATATTATCATATTATCAATGAGGCTTAAGACCCAAAATAAAAATACTGGAAATATCCAATTCACATAAACAAGACAAAAATGGTGTACAAATGTGCACAACTAAAAAGAAATATTTGCACATGAAAAGAAAAAAGTAAGAGCTTAACATGCATTTCATTTAAATTGGGTATATATAGTTACCGGGCATGTATGTTCATAGGTAATACTGAAGTCTTTTTTTATTTTTCATTAATTTTTTTATTTTGGGGGGTAATATTCATATATCTGTCTAGACATTTCAAACAGACAAATTCTGAAAACAAGTAAATTAGACCTAGGACATTAAAACAGCCTGTTGAATGAAGTATACACCTGTCCCTCAGCCTCGTTTTCATTCAAGTCAAATTTAACATTGCAATTACCCTTTATTAATATTATCTTAGTTAGTATAGATGATGGCTCAATCCTGGAATGTTGGAGGATGGCTTGAATTTAGCTGATCCAACAATTGCAACATGGGCAGAAAAAAATTATTAATCAATAATATAACAGCTTTTTAAGAAAGTCAAGTCTCCTCCTACATTATTTCCATTTTCCCTCTAAAAGATAGCACATTGCTGATATCAAATGCATTCTGAATGGCATTTCCTATTTCTTACCATATCCCTGGGTGACAGATGGGACGTCTCGCAGCGATGGGGACATGCAGAGGATTTGTCCTTTGGCCAGAACTTCTCCTGGACTCTCCGTTAGCTCCTCAAACACACACGTCACGCCCATGGAGAGGTTTGGGACGTTAGCTACCTTCACACTCAGCTGGAGCACAAACACAAATTCTCCTGTCAGACATGCTAGATCATCACGCGAGCTGCCTGATTAGCATGTGAAAACAACGTTTTAGCATGGTTCTGTTAGCATTAATGGAAAAAAACCCCCTAAAAATTAAAATCCTGTCATCATTTACATACTAATCCTTATGTCATCTTATAATGCATATGACCTTTTTTTTTTCTTTACAAGAAACACAAAAGATGAAGACTGAAGAATATTCTATAAACAAATAATAATCTATAAATAATCTTACACACACACACACAAAAAGAAAACACTTCTGTTTCTTCTATAACTCTTCTCTAGATTCCTTCCTGATCTAGTTGTTTAATAAACCAGATGTATATCTCGAGCCAGAAGCATGCGTTTTAGTATTTTTTTGTGTGTTTTGAGCACCGTTTTAAGTTTTAAATAATCAGATTTTTTAAAATCCAAAATTATTCAGAATATCCAAAAATATTCAAGTCATTTTAAATCATAACCTAACAATGAACAATATTTTATAGCATATACTAATATATGTTAATAATAATTTCTTTATTTTTTCTACATTTATTATTTCAAGAAACACAAAAGATTGAAGAATATTCTTTAAATAAATGATAATCTATATATAAAAAAAACACTTCCATTTCTTCTTTTCTTTTCTCTAGCTTCCTTCCTAATCTAGGTGTTTAATAAATCTGTCATTGTATATTATGAATACTGCTGGCTCTTTGACAAATTGTCTTTGTTAAATGCATAAATGTAAATTTCAATGTAATAAATCCCTGAGCCACTCTTTTCCATATAATTACAATAAAAACTCGGTCAGTCAAGCTCCAAAATGACAAAAAAAAGCACCATTAATGCATAATAAAAGTCTTCTGATGCAGATAGATAGATAGATAGATAGATAGATAGATAGATAGATAGATAGATAGATAGATAGATAGATAGATAGATAGGAGACATGGAGACAT